TGTTGCCTCACCTCAGTGAGACAGGAGAGGGCTGCTGTTGCCTCACCTCTGTTAGACAGAGGAGAGGGCTGCTGTTAGGACTGGGCGGCTTGGCTTGCTCTCTTTACCGTCAGGCTGAGCATTCCCCCTTAACCTCTGTATGCTGAAGTGATGTCAGAAGTAGAGATCAGTGGGAATCTTCTGAGTATAAAAAGTGGAGGATTTACTTCATATCATTGAATACTAGAAATGTGTTGTTAAAAATTTACAGCTTAAGACATCTTTTCATTTCATGTTCAAATAATTATAACTGGAAAAGGTGGTAAAGGCAGAAATAAAGAGTTGAAATGCTTTGCATGTGTAGTGGCAGAGCCAGTGATGCAGTACAGGTCCCCTGACTCCTGGACTGCTTTTTTTACTATACCACGTAGTATTTTGCAAATAGTTTCTTTAAAAAAAAAAACCTGTGGATCCCTCAGTATTTTCATCATTCCTTCATAATTCTTTTCCTGTTAGCATCATCAGTAAGTATTGACTGAGCACCCCTTAATTTTTTGTTTTGTTTTTTAATATTAGATTCATTCACTCTTTATGTTGCACAGGTCTGTAGATTTTGACAAATGCACAGTGCCATGTAGCTACCATTACAGTGTCATACAGAATAATTTCACCCCTCTAACAAGTCCCCTGTGGTTTTCCTATTAATACCCGCACCGCGTCCCCTGACAACCACTGACCTTTCTACTGCCTCTATAGTTTTGCCTTTTCCAGAATGTCACATAGTGAGAATCATACAGTGCATAGCTTTTTCAGACTGAATTGTTTACTTAGCAGTACGTTTTTAAGGTTCCACCATGTCTTTTCATGTCTTGGTAGCTCATTTCTTTTTATCAGTGAATAATATGTACAGATGTACCATCGTTTTTTTTTTATCCATTCATCTACTGTACATCTCTGTTTGCTTCCAGTTTTTGGCATTTCTGAATAAAACTGCTGTAAGCATTTGTGCAGGTGTAAGCTTTTAACTCTTTTGGGTAAATACTGTATTTTTCAACAAATAACACCCCCCCCCCCAGCACACAGGGTGCGCCTAGGAAAATAATGCACGAAGGGGTTGTGCAGTTGGCAAAAACATGTAATGCATGCGTTATTTGCGTAAAAATACGGTGTCAGGGAACACAATCGCTGAATCATATGGTTACAACTGTGTTGATCTTTGTAAGAAACTGCCAGCCTGTCTTGCAATGTGGCTGTACCATTTTGCATTCCCACCGGCAATGAATGAGAGAGTTCCTTTTGCTCCACATCCCTGCCAACATTTTGGTGTTGTCTGTGTTTTTTGAGTTTTAGCCAATCTAATAGGCATGTAGTGGTATCCCCTTGTTTTAAATTGCAGTTCTCTCTGACATGATGTTAAGCATCTTTTCATATGATTATTTGCCATCTGTATATTTTCTTTGGTAAGGTATAAGAGTTCTTGGTGTATTTTGGATACAAGTCCTTTATCAGATAAGTGTTTTGCATGTATTTTCTCCCAGTCTGTGGGTTGTCTTTTCATTCTCTCAACGATGTCTTTGGTAGAGCAGAAGTACTTAATTTTAGTGAGGTCTGTCTACCAGTCTTTTCTTTCATGGATTATACATTTGGTGTTGTATCTAAAAACTCTTCGCCAAACCCAAGGTCACCTAGATTTTTTTCCTATGTTATCCTCTAAAAGTTTTATAGTTTTGCATTTTACATTTGGGTCTGTGTTCCATTTTGAGTTAATTTTTGTAAAAGGTGTAAGGCCTGTGTCTAGATTCATTTATTTGCATGTGGATGTCCAGTTGTTCCAGAAACTGTCCTTTTTCTGCTGAGTTGCCTTTACTCCTGTCAAAAATCAGTTGACTTTATTTGGGTCTTTTGCTGCTGTTTCTTCTATTCCATTGATCTGTTTGTCTTTCACTAGTACTACACTGTCTCGATTATTGCTTTATAGTAAGTTTTTAAGTCAAATTGATAACTCTTGCTTTATAGTAAGTCTTTAAATCAGGTATTGTCAGTCCTCTGACTTTATTACATATTCCTCAGTATTGTGTGGGCTGTTCTGGGTCTTTCGCCTTTCCATGTAAGCTTTGCCGGGATTTTGTAGTGAAGCCCGTGAGAGTTAAGAAATGTATGGTGACCAGAGTTCCTCCTTAGTGAGCGTAAAAATCATTCTTTCACTGCAGCCGACGCGTCCTCTTACTGTTAAGCTTTAAGATGGATTTACTTGTGCACAGTTAATACTGAATTTACTGAAGTCCTGTGAAGAAGAAATCCAAAAATTCAAAGAAGTCTAATTCATCAGGGTTATTTTTTTTTTCTCCTTTAGGTTTACATTCATATTTTTTTACTTGTAGGCATATATTAATGTTGTTATTTTAAGTATTAGAATCTAAAGAAGGCAAAAATTAAACTCTGAATTATATATGCTTACTGAAAACGTAACAAAAGAAAAAAAGAATTCCAGACTCCCTAAGAGTATGGAGTAGTAGTAAAATATATTTTGTCACAAGATTTTAGAATCTAATTGGGAAAGCACACGCTGAAAGTTCTTGGCTTTAAGCTTTTATTTCACTTTTTTCTCACAGCAACCTGAAGGAACTGGCATGATAGATGAAGAGTTTACTGTTGCGAGACTCTACATTAGCAAAATGAAGTCCGAAGTAAAAACAATGGTAAAACGCTGCAAACAGTTAGAAAGCACACAAACTGAGAGCAACAAAAAAATGGAAGAAAATGAAAAGGAGTTAGCAGCATGCCAGCTTCGTATCTCTCAAGTATGTGTTACAGAGCAAAGTTTCTTTACATCCTGAACAGGCACCTAGAAATTTTTATTGCAAAAGTTTTCCCAAAAAATGAACTTCTATAGGTTATTTTGGGTAACAACATTAAAAGGTTGATTTAGTGGGTTTTTTGTAGCATAGCTGTAGTATAACATGAATGATTTCACTGGGTTATAGTTGTTAACATATGTATAGAAATTTTACTAATAAGATGTGACTGATGTGGCTAATGAGGAATCTAGAAGAATTCCAGGGCAGACAAAATTGCAGGGAACCAGTTTTCTGGCTTGGGTGGCTGAATAGAAGGGGCTGTTCACCAAGAATAGGGATTGTGGAAGGAGGGAAGGGGTGGTGTTAGCTGGAGATAACTGTAACAATATCTCATATGTCAGCCTTCAGCGCCTTAGTTTGCAAGCTGTGCAGATTGACATTTAACACTGTAAGTCTGACCAGTGAAGATTTGAGGTTTAAATTTCTTATTTAAACTTATTTTTAGATATATTGGTGAAACTTACTTACTTTCACATATTCTTTAACTACAGAATATGTTCTTGAGATTTTTTTTCACTTCATATCATACATTTTTTCCAAAAGCATGAAGCCAAAATCAAATCGCTGACCGAATACCTTCAAAACGTGGAGCAAAAGAAAAGACAGCTGGAGGAGTCTGTTGATTCCCTTAGTGAAGAACTAGTTCAGCTTCGAGCACAAGGTACGCGTTCCCAGTTATTTATGATTTATATCTGTAGTCATTCTTTCTTACTGTTATTATAGTAAACTCATTCACACTGATAGAGAATACTAGGAATACTGATAACTTGGAATAGTAAACAAATCATACATTTTAATGTGGCTTTGAAACATGTTTGAAATTGTGTCTGAATATGGAAATGATCAACCTGGGAATTTCACACGAAGTTAGGAAGTTGTGTATGTGTGTAGACATAGAAGAGACAGTTATCTCATTTCTTTATCATGAAGTTAATCCATTCTGTTCTGGGATTAAGCAAAGGAAATAGAAGAATCTGTTAATATCAACACAAAGGATATACTAGTCAACGTGTCATTGAACTTGGAGGGAAGAAAATGTATTAGTAGGTGGCCTTTGGGTAATTTAAAGTCAAATACTGCTAAGGAACATACCGTTTATAAAGTTTATTTGCTCTTTGGTTTACATGAGGAACTTTAAGGCTTATTTCGTCTCTTCTCTTCTCTCTCTTCCCAAACAGAGAAAGTCCATGAAATGGAAAAGGAACACTTAAATAAGGTTCAGACTGCAAATGAAGTGAAGGCAAGTATGCCGTTACATTGTGTTCTAATGGCTTTTTATCATTATTAATTTTGACTAGTCAGCTTTTAATATCTGTTTTCCCCAATAATTTTAGCAAGCTGTTGAACAACAGATCCAAAGCCACAGAGAAACTCATCAAAAACAAATCAGTAATTTGAGAGATGAGGTTGAGGCAAAAGAAAAACTTATTACTGATCTTCAAGAGTAAGTATTATGCTTTTTCCCTCTTGCTCTTTAACTGAGATGTTTAAAAACTTATTCCTAAAAGTCAAATACTTAGACAAGAGGAAATAATAGGTTATTGATGAGCAGTATTTCCTTCTTAGAAACCTTTATTTTTCATTGAAATTGATATTTTCCACTTGGAAAATACAGAATTTTCTTAATAGTAAGTATAACTTCTAAGTTCCAAGTGATATTTTTTGAGAAGTTTTCTTAGCTCTTTTGATCTAAATGTGCAGGGGGAAAAAATCCCCCAACTTAAACTCAGTTATTATTGCAAGTTGACACCAGTCTTCAAATCATTTCCTCAACTTCCTTTTTTAAGGAATCTTTAACTTAGAAACATTTTATTGGAAATTGTGGATTTTAAGTTTTGGGATTTTGGGTTTTTTTAATAAATAAAGTTGTCATTTTCGTTTAGTCCCTACTTCCATAACTGTGTGCACATAGAATTTATGGAGATCGCAGGTCTTCAACTAAATCCTGAATTGAGTAGGAGCCAGAGAAGAGTGACCAGACAGCACAATGAGTAGTTTGGGGACTTGGTCTTATTATCAACACCTAATGGAATTAGAGATGATAATTCAGGAGATGAAAGGCGTAGAAGGTAAAATCACGGCTTCAAAGCAAAATAGGAAAAAACAATGTATGGCTGTAAGTAGCGGAGTCCCCTTCGCACCCTCCCCCAGCTCTCGTAGGGGACAGGATAATAGAGGAGGCCTCGAGTATTTGAAAGGTGAGATTCTGGAAGTTAAGAGTTTGAAAGTTTTTAATGGAAATATTGCTGATGGCTGGTTTTCTTGCAGTCCTCCTTTTGCTGCTTTAGTAACATTGTATGTAGTTCATAGTGCATTCTCACAGTGAGAAAACTGTCATGCTGATATTGTGGGGTTTCTTTTTTTTTTTTTTTTTTGTCCTCGTTTATCAGCCAAAACCAGAAAATGATGTTAGAACAGGAACGTCTGAGAGTAGAGCATGAGAAGTTGAAAGCTACAGATCAAGAAAAGAGCAGGAAACTACATGAACTTACGTAAGTAAATGTTTTAGAATTTAAAAATAAAAACCAGCTTAGAGGACTGCAGGTATTAACTCTTGGATATATCTAGTGGGTACATTTTTTACTTTGTGTTAGCTAAACTGTTTTTCCTAAACTCTCTGAGTTGGTTTGATTTATACCTAAAAACTTTCAATATATTCTTGAATTTTAGTGAACAGAAGGCCTTGTATTTCAGTGATGGTCAAGATTCAGATTCCTGTTTATCAGCCTGCTTGCTATTTGTGTGTTACCATATGACTTCAGGGTCCATCATAAAAATGAACCTAAAATATGGCATTAAGTAAATTTAGAAGATTTCAGTATCTACCACAAAAACTGAATTTTTATAAAATTTGATTTTGCATAAAGAACATGATTGCTTTAGCCTTCTCTTTTGAACAGAAATTTTCACCAGTTTTTTTCTAATTTACTAAGAGTATAGTCAGTACTCAGTTTTTTAGAATCTGAGCAGAAGGAAAACTCTTGATTATAATTGTTTATGTACTTTGAATTTGCAAGAGATAACTGGCAAATAAACAGGCTGTTGTTAGGGATGGTCACACTGTTAGGACCAGTTCAGAGTGATTTTTATAAAGTTTCTTTTGAATCATCAGCCATAATTTTGTTTAGAATAATATTAATGTAAAATATTTTAGTATTTTTAAAATTTATAATCTCTGTAATTCCTAGTTAATCAGAACCATTTTGGATAAATAGCAGTATGTTGTATGTGGCATATTCTAAGAAATAAGAACAACTCCATAATCTTGGATTTCTGCCACATTTTATTTCACCTCTTCCATTGCCATATGAGGAGATACATTTATTGTAAATAAACAATACATTTAAAAGGAGATTATAAAGTATATAAAAATTTCTTTGAAAGGTAGAATATGGGTACACTTTAAAAAAGATAAGCATTTTTCATTTATTTGAATTTAAGAACTGATCCTTTCAGATAAAAAGCATTTGATTCACATCTTCTGCTAAATAAAACTAGAATTTTATGGAATCAAAGTTGAGAATATATATATTCTTTCACTGTTTAGAGTTATGCAAGATAGACGAGAACAAGCAAGACAAGACTTGAAGGGTTTGGAAGAGACAGTGGTAAGAAAAGCTTGAAAATAAATAGGATTTGGGAGTATTTTATGGATTTTCCCCCTTCTACTATAAATTTGAAGTCTGAATTTCTAAAATATTACTATTCTTAATTCAAGGCAAAAGAACTTCAGACTTTACATAACCTGCGGAAGCTTTTTGTTCAGGACCTGGCCACCAGAGTTAAAAAGGTAATACAGCAGTACTGAGGTAGGTATTTGTCTAAGTCACACTTACTGTGTGTAACTATCTGTATTCGTAAATTATTTTCTGTTGTCATACAAACTGTTACGTAGGTATAACGCTCGGATTTTCCGATCTTTGAGTTGTGTCAGTCTTGGTCTGCGTTCTTTTCTCAGAGTGCTGAGGTGGATTCGGATGACACTGGAGGTAGTGCTGCTCAGAAGCAGAAGATCTCCTTCCTTGAAAATAACCTCGAACAACTCACTAAAGTACACAAACAGGTAATGAAGAATGGGTTTTGTGGTGGCAAATATTTTAATCTTTTAAAGCCCTAAGGAATTTTTATACCCTGAGCCTTTCCACTATTTTATAAAGAACCACTAGCAGCTTTTAGGGGGATGAATATTTAATAACCATATTATCAAAAGAGGCCAAAGAAAACATGTAATCTTATTTCCTCTGTAGGATTTCTGGTCTGTCCATTTTTTTAATTTATTCATAATAATTTTTGAATTTCGGGTAGGCAAGCCTTTTTTTTTTGTTTTGTTTTTTTTTTGTCTGTTTATATTTACAGTCCTAGAGTATGAAATATATAATGAGGCAGTTAATTTTTTTTTTCTTTTAAGTAATGCTTACTATGTTTTTGCTTATTTTTTATTGTGGCATGATAAATGATATTACTAACAAAAAATGTTTCATAACACACTCAGTTTTATATCTTTGTTATTGTAAGTCTGATGTTTGCACAAGAGTACAGTTAAAGAAATTTTAATTTTTCTTGTCTTCAGCACATTACAAGTTTGCTAAGTTTATGATGACCTGTGGTCTTCTATGTTTAAAAGAGTATATTCATTTCCACCAGATTAGTAAGTTACTGAAGTGATGTAGCCCTAATGTTGTAACTGATGGTCTTTGTGCCGTAGGGGAAGAGGATGATCTCCCCTCCCCCAAGTAAAATAAAATTGTGTGTGAGAGAAATATATGTATTCCTTATACGTTTCTGCGTAAGTTAAAGTAGCTAAATGGAAAACAAGCCTTACTATAAAATGTAGTTTATTTACCTTCTAAAGAGAAACTGAAATGTTCATACTTTTTCCAGTTCATGTTTTTAAAAGTTAGATAAATTTTCTTTTTGTACCTTTAGTTGGTACGTGATAATGCAGATCTTCGCTGTGAACTTCCTAAGTTGGAAAAGCGACTTAGAGCTACAGCTGAGAGAGTGAAAGCCTTGGAGTCAGCACTGAAAGAAGCCAAAGAAAATGCATCTCGTGATCGCAAACGCTATCAGCAAGAAGTAGATCGTATAAAGGAAGCAGTCAGATCAAAGAATATGGCCAGAAGAGGACATTCTGCACAGATTGGTTAGTAGAACACATCAACACCTTCAGACCTTGCTTGGTTTGAATGTTTCTGTGTAGTTGAAAACATAGTCTGATTCATTTGTAATGTGTTGACATGGAGATATTTGTCTGTATTTTCTAACTTACCAAGGATTGGCATTGTTGGAAAAGAATAGAGAAGTTGAGGAATGACCACATTTACAGGCCAAGAAGACAAATAAGAACTAGCAAAACAAGCAAGAATGGTCAGGGATAGGAGAAATTATATAGAGCAGTGTTATTAAAACAGAGGGAGAATCACAAGAAACAAGCCATCAGCAGTATCTCATGCTTCCGATGAATTACTGGCATAAGGATGAGATATATTAGGGCTGAGGAGCTGGGCTGGTACAGGCTTCTAACCTAAAAGTTGGAGGTTTGAACCCACCCAGTGGCTCCACGGAAAAAAGGCCTGATGACCTGCTTCCGTAAAGATTACAGCCAAGAAAACCCTATGGAGCAGTTCTGCTCTGTAACACATGGGGTCACCATGAGTCGGAGGCTGGCTCAATGGCAGCTAACAACAGCAAGGATTTTATAGGTTCCTGGAGAGAAGGATGTAACCAATGTAAAGAAAAAGAGAGAAGAATGTGTTGAGAAACAGAAAGGCAAAGAAAAACAAGTACGTTTGGGAATTTGTTATGAATAAAGAGAAGAGACCTAGATATTCATTACTGTCGTGTGTTGAACTTTATTCTAAAGTCAGTCTTTTTTTTCATATTAGCTAAACCTATTCGACCTGGGCAACATCCAGCAGCTTCTCCAACTCACCCAGGTGCAATTCGTGGAGGAGGTGCCTTCGTACAGAATAGCCAGCCCGTGTCGGTCCGTGGTGGAGGAGGCAAGCAAGTGTGAGCTTTTACACATGTCCACAGGTTTGTAGTTGCTCTATGGCTTTTGAATGCAGTTGTACGTGGAAACTTTCAGCCACAGGCTGTTAAACAATTTTTTGAATTCTCAGTTAGTGTCACGATTTTTTTTTTAATGTGTGATTGTAAAAGCAACTTGGCAAGTTTTCTTCGAGTCTTTTTTCATAGCATGTCATAGTTCAGGTCATACTCTATATTCCATGTTGTGTCCTTACCGTTTTTAACCTGACATTGGATTATTATTAGTAGCTCTTGGTAGTCTGTCTAATGAATGTACCATAGTTTATAACTATTCCCTTTTACTGTACATTTAATTATGTTAATTTTTTTCCATATTTGAAATTTTCTAAAACTGAAATTTCCATATATGAATTTGGAAATATAGAACATCTTTTTATGCCGCTCACCTTCTAGAGTACTTCAAGAAGATTCCCAGAAGTGAAATTGCAAGAGCTATGAACATTTTTAAGATTGTTAATACATAGTGCCACATTGCTTTCCAGGAAAACTCCACCAAATTGCATATTAGCAAAGGATAATATTGGTTTTGTTTCATCCTTGCCATCATTGAGTATTAGTAGTTTTAAACTTTCTAATTTAATAGACTAAAAAAAAATGGCATCCCATTGATTTGATGAAGTTGGATATTTTTTAAATATTTATTGAGCCATTTTTTTTAATGTGGTATCGTTGTGTCCTTTTTCTACTCACCTGTATTCATTCATTCATTTTTAGTTATGTAAACAATATCTGTCCATTGTAGGGGGATAAAGAATATCACAAAGTAGATGATAAATGTCATCCAGAGATACCACCTAATGTATTGTATCTTTTTAGAGCCTTTTTTACGTATAATGACTTACTTTAAAAAGTTTAAACTGCTTAAACAAACTGTGGTACATACACACAGTGGTCTGCTATGCAACCATAAAGAATAATGATGGGTTCTCAAAATACAACGTGGGCGAATCTGGAGGACATCATGCTGAGTGAAATATGTCAATTACAAAAGGACAAATACTGTATAATCTCAGTATTATGAAAAGACAAGAATAGGTATACATACGGAGAGCACCATTCTTTGGTGGATACCAGGGATGGGGGGAGAGGGACGGGGAATCACTTTCTAGATAGCAGACACTTGTTAGTTTTGGTGAGGAGTGAGGCAATACCGAATAAGAGTGAAGCCAGCACAACTTGACCAAGGTAAATGATGACACTAAGAAGTACACAAGAATAGGGACAATTTTGGTAAAAGCCACAACATATACCATTTTGCAACAGCAATAAAATAACCAAAAAGTATGTGTGTGGTTATGTAGGTGGGTATGTATGCTTATATGTGTATAGATAAGCACGTATAAATATACGAGTGTGCGAATATAGGTATTTCTGTAGGCAGATGTCTGTGTACAGGTTTGTGTGAGCTGCATATATATTCATATAGAAAAGAAAGCACATAGGGGGCACAGTTATGGATACTTCCTAGACATAACCAAATACCTTGCAGGATTCGATCACTGGGTTTGAGGGCTTAGGACCATAGCCTCAGAGGGGCAGTCGGTCAGTTGGCATAACATGGCTCATAAAGATAATGTTCTACATCCTAGTTTGGTGACTAGTGTCTGGGGTCTTAAAAGCTTGCGAGTAGGCGTCTAAGATACAACTATTGGTCTCTGTGCATCTGGAGAAAAAGAGAAAGAAACCAGAGACTCAGAGAAGAAACTAGTCTATGGGACTAATGGTTTATGTGAGCCATGGCCTCACCTACCTTGAGAGCAGAAGAACTAAGTGGTGTCTGGCTACCACTACCAACCATTCTGACCAGAGATACAATAGAAGGTCCTGGATAGAATGGAAGAAAAATATAGAACAAAACTCAAACTCCTGAAAATTGGACTTACTGGACCAATACAGACTAGAGGAACCGCCTGGGGTACCCTTTAAGCTTGGAATTGAAACCACTCCCAGGGGTCACCTATCAGCCAAAAGACAGAGTGGCTCATAAAGTAAATAATAACACCTGTGAATACGGTGCTGCTCTAAACAATCACCTACATGAGACCAAATGGTCGGCATTTACCCTACATCAAAGATGAGATGGTAAGGTGGGAACAAGGAAGCTAGATTCATGGAAATAGAACAGCCAGACTGGAAATAATGAGAATGCTGATACATCGTGAGAAATGTAGCCAGTGTCACTGAATATTATGTATAGAAATTGTTAAATGAGAACCTAATTTGCTATGTAAGTTTTCTCCAGAATCACAATCAAATATTAAAAAAAAACAGTGGGGGAAGCGTCTTCGGCCACCACCATGAATCACTTCTCTGGTTCTTCCTGGATGAGGTCAGATCATTGATAACTCAAGTGGAGAGCAGCCATGAGGAAGAAGAGAAGAAGATGACAGACATAAACTTCATGAAAGAACTCAGTTTCTGTCTGCTATTCCAGAAATTCGGTGATTCATCATCTATCATTTTAAATAAGAACAGACTTTTTCCACACTAAAGGAAAAGTAAAATAAGGGCTACTGGGATATTTAAAATCATGTCTAAGAAAGGGCTATATAAACCAGAGACTTCATCAGCCTGAGACCAGAAGAACTAGATGGTGCCCAGCTACCACCAATGACTGCCCTGACAGGGAGCACAACAGAGAGTCTGGGATGGAGCCCGAGGAAGGTGGGGTGGAGAACTCAAATTCTAGTCAAAAGACCAGACTTAATGATCTGGCTGAGACGGGAGGAACCCCGGAAAGCATGGCCCCCGAATTCTCTATCACCCAGAACTGAAACAATTTCCGAAGCCAGCTCTTCAGACAAAGATTGGACTGGACTGTGGGACATAAAATGATACTCATGAAGAGTGTGCTTCTTAGCTCAAGTAGATAGAAGAGACTAAATGGGCAGCTTCTATCCGGAGGTGAGATGGGAAGGCAGAGAGGGTTAGGAGCTGGTTGAATGGACATGGGGAGTCGGGTGGAGAGGAGGAGTGTGCTGTCACAGTATAGGGAGAGTAGCTAGGGTAACATAACAATGTATGCATAAATTTTTGTATAAGAGACTAACTTGAAATGTAAACTTTCACTTAAACTACAATAAACAAACAAATGATTTACACACACACACACAAATCATGTCTATACAGGGTGAGCCAGGTGACTTAGAAAAAACAGTGAAACAGTCGTTGATACATACAGTGCAGCCTGGCTAGCTGAATGGCTAATTTTTAAGCTTCCCTGGCATCTAGTACAATGTGGACTGAAAAAGAGGAACAAATAGGTCAATCGTAACAGCTGCTAGAGGTCATCTGAGGTACGATGTCAAATATTGTTGGAGTAACTTCATCTCTTCAGAGCACCTTCTATAAGTAAGCCTTGGAAAGTGTCATCCAACAAAATAAATGAAAAAGGAAGAAATCCAGAAAGGTAAATACTAATCCGGCATCATTTAAAAAAAAAAAAAAGTTTAAACTGCTGATAAATACTTTAGTGACATACCTATTGTACTATACACATACTGCTTTGTAGCTTGCTTTTTTAAAACTTAACAATATATTCTGAGCATTTTCTTCTCCAACATGACTGATTAGTAGTTACTAGCCACCTAATATTTCATGTTATGGCAGGAGCTCATATCTTAACTCTTGAAGACCTCCAGGGTGTGTGGGCGCTTTGGAGACTAAAAGGTGCTGCGTAAATAATGATCAGATGGTGTACTCTCGTGGTTTCTGACGGAGGACTGCAGCCAGTCTGGTTTACTCTTCCTTGTCCTTACTTTGACATTTTACATAATACTGGCTCTGAGTTTGAGTAGAGACTTAACTATTTTTGAGGATTCACATTTCCAACAATTTAATTTTTGTGACACAATATAGGATTTAAAAGAGACAGATGGTGAAAAGAGCATGGACTTTGGAGTCCATCTAAGTATGAATCCTTTTCTACTTTTGTGAACTTGAGCAAGTTACTTTTTTAACAGTTAATTGCTTTCTCATTTTGGCTCATTTAAAATTTTTTAGCATAAAACTAAATGATGAATTTGTGACCTAAATTAATGTATCTCTAAAACAGAACATTTTCTATATAGCCACAGTAACATTATCACACCTAACAAAATTAATTAATCACAACCTAACGAGTTTCCATCAAGTTGATTCCAACTCATGGCAACCCCATGTGTGTCAGAGTAGCACTATGCTCATAGGTTGTCAGTGGCTGATTTTTCAGAAGTAGATCACCAAGCCTTCCTTCCGAGGCCCTTTGAGTGGACTCAAACTTCCACCCTTTTGATTAGTAGCTGAACACTGAACCATTTGCAACACTAGTATTTTTAAAACAAAACGTCCTTTGCATCTCATTTGTCTGAACCAGAATCCAGTCCAGGACCGCTGTTGCCATTTGGTTATATCCTGTAAGTCTCTTTTAATCTAAGATAGCCTCCCTTTTTGTAATGACAGTTGCTTATTGAAGAGAACAGTCCCGTTATCTTGAACATATGCCACCTTTAGATGTGTTTGATTGCTTCTATATGTAATTACCATGTTTCTCGATCCTTCCTGTTCCCTGTACGTTGGAAAGTAGAAAAGCATTGATTAGTGTCTTGGTTTACCTAGTACGGCAGTTACAAATACCACAGGTGGGTTCCTATAAAGAACAGAAGTTTATTTTCTCACAATCGCAGAGACTAAAAATCTGCATGTGGGTCTCGGTCGTGTTCGTCCTTTCTGTGGGCCTCTCTCGCAGTTTTTGGTGACTCCTGACTTTCCTCGGCCTCCTTTGCTTGCAGACAGTCCTTAGATGGTGTCTTTCGTCCCCTGTGTTTGTCTCTGTGTCTAGTCTATTTGTAAGACACTTAGAAGTGATTGAGTTTAGGACCCGCCCGACTCTGCTGTGATCTTACTAACATAACAGAAGAAAATATTTCCTAACAGGGTCAGGTCCCAAGCCAAACTCTTGGCAGTCGAGTTGATTCCGACTCATAGCGACCTTATAGGACAGAGTAGAATTGCCCCATAGGATTTCCAAGGAGCAGCTGGTGGATTTGAACGGTCCACCTTCAGGTTAGCAGCTGAGCTCTTAACCCCTGCGCCGCCAGAATTCAACACATATTTTATGGGGACACATTCAGCCCATAACAGATACAGAGTAAACGTTTTTTGACAAGACTACATTGTAGGTGACGGTGTTACATCAATAGACATACAGTCGCTGGTTTTCCCACCAACTAAAGATGCCTCTCTGTTTTTCCCGTTTGAGCCCCCTTTTAATAGTAAGTAGCTCTTCAGAGTTAAGATGTTGCCTGGCACAGAGTGGGTATTCAATAGGTCCAAGCTGCTTTTTGGAAGTGGGATCTGGGCAGGGGGTTTTCAAAGCATGAGAAAATAGATCAAGTTGATCCTTTTTGGATACTGTTCTTACATTAAAATTCATATGCAAACTTTGAACTCACCTCATTTGCAGAAAAAATAGACCAGGACCTTTGTTAAATATAGTGTACTTATAGCTGGAAGTCTAACTCTGACCCCAGTATAATGACAGCAGTTTAACTCATGAGGGAAATAGCTATCCTAGCTAAACTAGGTTTTCAATACTGGAAATAATTATAAAAATGTAATTGGTTATAAGTTTGTTTTATTGCTGATCCAAAGGATTGTGTTCTTATTTTTTAATAATTTGCATTAATCTTAAACCATGTCTGAGGAGTGTATTATTCACTTCAGTGATAAATTGTTGAAAAATTAAATACTTTGTGGATAAATTTTTATTTTTTAAATGTTAAGGAAAACATTTCAAAACACTTGGTTTATTTGTTGGAAAATAATAGCACTGATACCTTTAGTTCCCAGTTTTCCAGAGCTGGTTTCCTAGCTTATATAACACTTTGAATAGGTTGGGTTTTTATAAATGCAAAGATAACTAGACAGTTTAATACAAGGTGCCAACTGCTGGAATGACTTATTTCACTGTCAGTTTTGCTACCATACACACTCTTGTTTATTCCTGCTCCTTCCCCGCTCTTTTTCCCTTCCTGTTTTTTGCAGGAACTGTTTATGTAACATCAGTGCTTGGTGGTCATTGGTTTAAGAATGTCATTGACGCTGTCTGCTAGCTTCCATTTTATTTTGTCATCTCTCCTGTTTTTAAACAAGGACGTCACCACTCGTCGCTCCACTGGGGAGAATAAAAACAAGTGAAAGGCTGACCTCCTTTTAAACATTGTCCTGCTGACACACACTTCTACTTAAGATATAAATAAAAGGAGAAAAAATCAAATCATTTTAGTATAGCCATATTTTTAATGTTAGGGAGAGTGAAGCCATTGACTAAAATATTTTTAAACTATTGGTATACTTCTTTTTTTTAAAAACTTAAGAGATTCTTCATGATTATCACAAATAAACATGAGTTTTATAAAGTTCTTCATGCTTTCTTCCATTTTCAGGTGTTGAAAAGTAACTGAAGAAAGAAGAGGATATACTATCAAGCAGCATCATTGAATGACTTTAACCGCTACCCCACGGGGATTGTAGAATTATGACTTTTTTTAATGTATAAATGATACCTGGCCTGTACAGCTGTTTCCTGCCCACTCTTCTTATAAACTCTGCTGCTTCCCAACACAACTAGAGTGCAATGTTGGCGTCTTAGGAGGGAAAAGACACGACAGTTTACGACTGTGGCCCTATTTATTACACAGTTTGTCTTTCATGTCTTAATCTAGTCTTCACTGTGCCAAGCTGACTGTACCTTACAGGGTTGTGTTTGGGTGTTTGTGTGTTTATGTTTAAATCTCAGTTAAAATTACCCAGCTGCTACTGCTGCTTGTTTTTCTTTTCTTATTAAAATGTCTTCCTTATTTTAGGGAAAATAGAACATTTAGATTAAATGTCTTAAATTTTACCACTTATAACACTACATGCCCACAAAAGAGATCATATCAGGTCAGTACTGTACTTTAAAATTCCTTGAGATGACTTCAGGGTTCAAATAATTTGTTATCATCCCTGCAGTTTGCTTCTGAAAACTACTGTTTGAGCACTGAAACCTTGAAACAGCTAACTAGACATTTGAGACTGAACAAGGCTACTTACTGGTTATCTGATGAAACGCCTGTTGCTGAGTTGATATTGAATAGAAATATTTTACAATATCAAAAGCAAATATTAAGACAAAGAATTTGAAAGAAGAATTGTGTTTCTCTTCTTCCTGATTCCATACTTTATATAGCTTGATGTAAGGACAATACCCTGCTTCACTCTGGTGAGCCTGCTAGCTAATACAATAATTGGACAGATATTCATTTGTCATCTTTCATATATTGAAGTGAATTAAGATATTATAGAATTAAACAATTTTATGTTAGTACTGTATTGGTTGATCTAAATTTTTAGACTATGGAAATTGAGGAAAAATGTAAAGAAACAGGACAAATAAATATGGTGAATTTAAAAATATGTAGGTAAATTTTTGTCTGAATTCCCTGATGTGCTTTGAAACTGCTACACTAAGTCATATACTATAATTTATTTATTTAGGCTAGATATAGTGAACTGTTTGCAGGTCACTAATCCTTATTAAATAAATTATTTTGTTGGCTAAAACCCCTGATTTTGTAACTAGTTCTGAGTGTGTACCTGTGTTTGCCACTTCTTCCTAAGTGACTAAGCCAAGGGTTTATTTTGAGAAGTTAGGAAAGTAAAGAGATTTCAATATTGGCTTTATCAGTGGGGGTGACTGCAACTATTTTAGCAGAAATTAGGAGAGAATGGGGATTTAAGGTTATTCTGTCAATAGAGAAAATTTGGAAAGCTTTGTGTTAAGATCTGGCTGACAGCATTCACTTTTGAAAAGTTTTATACACAGATATTTGTACTATTAAATTTGGAGCCATAGGCAGAAGACTCAGAGACCATAATTGGCTTATTTTTCTATTTCCTTAACTATTGTGATTTCCACTTTTATAATAACTTTGATTTGAAAGATAAATTTATTTATTTTTTTAATAGTCAGAAGTCCTTTAAAATGATTGTGTTGCTTTTCGGACTGTTCAGAATAAACACTCCACAAATTGAAATGCAATCTTGGTGCAGCAAGATAGAAGTAATGCACTTAACTGACAAAGAGTGCTACAGCCTACTTAGAATAATTTTCTAGATGGAGAAACATTCGGCTGCATTCATGCAGACATTTGTATTTTGTGAATTTCAAATGAAAACTTGCTTCTTTGTCAATATTCATAAATGAAGCAGAATTTTTTTTCTCTTTTGTCTAAATATGGTAGTTTCATTCCTGTAAGTAATACGTCATGGGTATTGGTGCTGTGTAACAAACAATAAAATTGTAACTAGCATGTGGTTCAGAATACACGTTAGTTTTTTGTTTTCTTAAAGTATCTTAGTGGTTCTTTTCTATTTATAATTTCAGACCTTTCACAAAATATACCAGGAATTTCATAAATTTGTTTTCATGGACCTGTGCTTTCTTTGTTGTGATGGTAGGTCATTAAACAACATTTACTCTTGTAAATGAAAATTTCTGATCATATAGAAAATTGCTAGTTACTTCAATTTGCTTTTTTTTTTTTTTTTCATCCTTGCGTTCTTGGTTTGAATCCTACTTGGTCGTGGTGTGCTTTTTTTTTTTTTTTTTTTGGACTGGATATATTTACGTTCCTCTGAAATGGTGATGATAAATAATTCAGAAGAGAAACTCAGTGAAATAGAAGACTAATATTTATTCATGGTGATCAGTTAAATTATTTGCCTAACTTAAGAAATACTGACTACTGTGCATAGCTCTCAATTGGACATGAGATGACAGAGTCTGAGTACCTGTGGAATATGCTGGTTTCTTTTCAGTGCTTGACGATACATTAAAAAACAGTTGGTTTGGGAAAGATGCCATATACTTTTTAAGTTAACATGCATGCTGTAAATGTGTTTTGTGTTTAAATAAAGAAGCAAATTTTTTTGAAACGTGATGACTTTTCTTAAAACATATTTAATGGAAGTATTCGGGTAATTTTGTATCAAGCCATGATGTGGCTTTCTGTCTTGACAGAATAGTAACTATTGTAAATTATTATTACATTCATGTATATTTTGTTTCCTGGTGTATTGCGGGCTCTTTGGACAGCAGGTATTGAATACATGGGTTGAAGAACTAAGAGCTAGAATGAGTTACCTCTCTCACTTGTGCTGCTCTAGTATAGTTTACATGTTCTGCTCAGACTTGTTTTTCAAATACCTCCTCAGTTGCCACTCAGGGCTAGCTGGAGAATGACTAAAGAGAGACTGTTCCTAAATTCAAGTGGTGATTGGATTTTCTTGGTTTCTATCTCTTAAAATTATTTCTTATGGGACATTTTAACCATACATGAAAGCAGAATAAATAATGAAACCCCAAGTACTTATCACTTAGTTTGGTCAATTATCAGCTTACAGCTAATCTTATTTATGAAGCAGTCCCCGACTTCATATGCTTTTATTCATAAATATTTCAGTGTGTATTTTAAGATATAAACAATTAACAGTTGCTGCTGAGTTGATTATGACTCATGGCGCCCCGTGTGTGCAGAGTAGAACTGCCTCCCTAGGGTTTTTGGAAGCGAGTCACCAGGCCTTTTGCCAAGCCTGCCTCTCAGTGTGTTCAAACCACCAACCTTTTGGTTAGTAATTGAACGCCTAACCATTTGTGCCACTCAGGGCCCCCTTTTAAGATATCCACACCCCACTGTGGTTGAGTCGATTCTGACTCATGGTGACCCCAATGTGTTGCAGAGTACTGTGCTCCATAGGGTTTTCGAGGCTGTGATCTGGCAGCAAATCACCAGGCCTTTCTTCCAAGGCATCTCGGTGAGTTTGAACCATGAAACTTGGTTAGCAGTTGAGTGCTTAACTGTTTGCACAACCCAGGGACTCCTGTAAGAACTTGAAACAAAAATATTATCCACTTAAAAATTAATAATTTCTTAATGTATTAAAAATGTCAGTGTTTGTAAATAATTTGAATCAGAATCCAATTAAAGTTCATAGATTGCAATAAATCCCCCCTCCATCTCTTTTTTCCCCTTGCAGTTAATTACTGAGAAAACAGGTTGTTTTCTGTACAGTTTCTCAAATTTTGCTGATTGCATCCCTGTGATAAAATTAAGATATTCCTCTGTCCTTTATAGTTCCCGTAAATTTGTTTTGGATCTACAGACGTGATCAGATTCACATTTTTGTTGGGGGTGGGGAGGTGGTGGTATTTCATACCAGTTAAAAACCAGTTGCCATAATGTTGATTCCTACTTAGGGCAACCCCATGTATTTCAGAGTAGAACTGTTCTCCATAGGGTTTTCAATGGCTGACCTTTCAGAAGCAGATCACTAGGCCTTTCTTCAGAGGCACTTCTGGGTGGGTTCAAACCACCAACCTTTTGGCTAGTCCAGCACTTGACCATTTGTGCACCCAGGGACAGTTTAGATTACTTCATAGGGGACGGTATTTTGCCAGGTGGTACGGAATGTTGGTCATCTCATCGCATGTTAGCAGCCATTGATGGTCAGTGCCTAGATCCATCAATTGATTAGGGCCTACAGAATGCCGCTACTCTATCATTCATTTATTAGCTGCAGTATTTCTGTGTAAAGAAACTGGTCCTCATCTACTGATTTCAGTACCCAGTGGTACAGTTTGTATAGGAAAAGCAAGATAAGTGCTTGATTCTCTTTATTTGCAAGTTTCAAAACAGTGAGTTGTTTCTTTGGTCCACCTCTACCTCATATCAGCCGAACGGATGGAGGATCAGCACCTCCTCGATTCCAGTGGGAAGAAGTGAAATCCCTGCGACCGCGTAACCAGTTAGTTATGTGATTTTTGTGTTTTCCCTTTGGGTTTTACCCTTCACGTGTGCTCCATGGACCCCCAGAGCACTTTATTCCTTTGCTGGAGAAGTTTAAATGGAAATAGAGGGATTTTTCCCAAAGTAAAAGGGAAAAAAAAAATCACAACTAGTCTGAGGAATGGATTGCAGAGTGAAATAAAGGAGTTTATCAATGAAGAAACTCGTGAGGATTTATACAGTTACACGTGGGCAAACTGGGATGGGGAATGGATATTAATAGATCGTCGTATAGCTGTTAGATACGGCCAGAGAGTGTGATAAGCCCATTTCTTTTCAACCAGCTGACTTATGCAACTGAGTACTCTCGTGGGGGTCCTGTCACGTTTGAGGCAATGGTGATGAACCATGAAAAATCCAGGCCAGAATCTGTACTGTCTACTAGTTGATGCAGCCGACAGAATTTGACATCTCTCTTTGGGCAAAGGCCAGGCAGTAAGTTGTTTTCACTTTAACTGAAGAGGTAAATATACTTCTCGTAGTCACATATAATTGGCTGCTGGGAAGAAACATGAAATGATCACTAATAGGATGTATAGATTTTTTTTTTTAAACTGTTTTGGAAATTTAAAAATAACTGAAAAAATACAGAAAATTGGGAAGTACTGAGTCCCGCATTTCCCACTACTCAGAATTAACTACTTTCAAAGTTGTGACATATTTGCTTCCAGTCTACATTTAACTTAATACATACATTACAAACAGCTTTCCTTGACTCGCACTTCCCATTTTAATTCCTTTACCTCTCTCTAAAGAGTAAAAAACATTGTTAATAGTTTGGTCTTCATCCTTCCAATTTGATGCAGCTTAGGTTCTCTGGAAGCAGAGTTGAGGGTGCAGGGGATTTATTACGGATCAATGCCTGTGGAAGGGAAAATGAGAAAGCAGGATTGCACAGAGGAAGCTGAACTGTAAGACAGGCCTGACAAAGCCATGGCCAACTTCACAGGGAGTCCTGGCAGTGTATGTGGCCCATCAGAGTTGTCCCGCAGGAGCTGTAATGGCTGGGCCCTATACTCATGTCTTGATCAGTGATCTGATATGGCTTATCCTAGAAAAGCATACCCTTGGGATGTTGTCCAGCTTAGGCAAACCCTGAAGTAACTGAGAGCTGGGCCATGAGACCTTCCTTGAAGTCCACCATGGTCCACCCCTGCCCCATTCAAATCAACGGAACTGATCGAGAATCAGCACCTCCTAGATTCTACTGGACCTCTCTTCCTGGGGAAAGTGAGAAAAACCAGTAGGAAGAACTAAAACCCCTGTTACCAAAGTGGTCTCAGGGCCACAGTTCCCTCCACTATCCATTCCAGAGTCCCTTCACCCTCCACCACCCCCACTGCTTTTCATGGTTGCTTACTTAGTAGCGTGATACTGATCCTCATCCCTGAGGAGTCTGGGCCCACGGTCTCCATGTTTGTCTCAGACTGGGGTTCCTACATTTGTCCATTTACTGACACAGCTGGGAAGGACGCACCAAGAAGTGCTCAAGTAGATCCCCTAGGTACCGCATTTCTCTCTGCCCCCAAGTGAAGAACAGCCCTTTCCCTTCCTGATAACCCATTGCTGTCGAGTTGATTCCGACTCATGGCAACCCTATAAGAGGGTAGAACTGTCCTCCAGGGTTTCCAAGGAGCGCCTGGTGGACTCGAACTGCCGACCTTTGGGTTAGCAGCCGAACTCTTAACCCCTACTCCAGGAACAGCCCTTTCTCTTCCTGATGGTCAGGACCAATTACCCGTTAAGATTGTAATTCCTCTCCTTGCCTGCTAATCTCTAGACACAGGAGCTCACAGTGCTTAGGTGGCAGTTGTAACCTATAGTTACATTTGAGTCAAAATGTGCCCCTTTGACCTGGACCTGTAACCCTGCAGAGCTCAAAGTTGCAAGGCAGGGAAGCATCAAGTCCCTCAGTGGGTCACTGGGAAAGATGGTAAGTGGGTCATTTCTCCAGCCACGCCCTTGGTCCTGGATCCATGTATTCTTGCTATTGGGAACAAAAAATTGTAAAAAGGACTTCAATTCAATATATACTGTATTCTGGAGGATAACGCCTCATCCTTATAGATTTTTGCCTCCAAGATGGCCCTTCAACTGCACTGTTAGTACTCTGTTCCACATTATCAGGCCAGTAGCTTTGGGGCGGTGAGCTATGTAATATTCCTTGGTCATGGACCCATTCTATCACCTTTGCTGTAAAGTGCATCCCGTAATCTGACACAATGTTAGGTGGCTGATGGAAAGAGGCATGGTCCTGAGGTCCAGATCGCTGAGCCTGGATCCAGAGGCAACCATCAAAGGCCCCTCCTTCCTCTGTCCCCGACACACACACATACACACACACACTCCACAGGGCTAAGTTCCCTCTGATTATACCCGACAGTAGCTCCATTGAGAACTTCCAGCCAGCCATCAACACTGTGGCTTCCTTGGCTGCAGTCACTGGTCACAGTCCAGAATGATGGCCACTCTGCTCTCTCCAATTCATGCTTTCTGCTCCATACTCACCTTTGCTCACTTTCCCCGTCGTGGATTCCTTTATCCATCCATCCCTTAAACAGTGATGTTCCCATTACTCTTCTGGCAATACACACTTTCTCATATATGCTCTTGTGATTTCAATGTAAGTATAAAAAGACCATTTAAAGATAAAATTCAAAAAAATTGTCAACCTTACTAACTCTCAAAGAAATGCAAGTTGAA